TGAAGCATGGTGCTGTGCAGGGGGAGGATGGGGAGTGGAGGAGGTGGTTTCTAAAAGTTCATGTTTCCAACATGAAGGCTTAAAGCTGCGTTTTTAACATCATGAGAGACTTATTATAAATTTGTGTCAAGGTTGTTTTTCATATTTCCACTGTCTTCTAGAAAACTAGACGATTCTTGCCCATAATCGATGGCAATGATCGGCTTGGCTGATCAATCCAGAAGCAAACTTATCGTTATAAGTTTTAATGACATTTCCTCGGATGTCACCAACAAAAGAAGTAGAAAGAGGTGAAGAGCGAAGAAACAAAGGAGCTGAAGCTGTTAATTCATCCACACACATTCCTTCAAAGTGCAAAAGCTTGTCACCAAAGTGAAGCTGTTTACTTCCTCATCATTCATAAATGATACACACAAACACACACACACACACACACACACAGGATCACTGATGAAGAAGAAATGTGTTGACAATGACAAATAAAGACAATATAAAAAAGGTTTAAATATCATTTTAAATCACTCTCAATGTTGTTGCTTTAATTTAACACAGTTCAGCAATAGTGGAATTCAAATTTTAAAAGATCTAACAAGCAAATAACTAATAATGTGCGTTAAAGGCCAAATTTAAAAAACCTCTGTAAAGGGAAAAACACAGCAATGAAAAAATTACACACACACACACACACTCCTATTTTAGTCTTGTTGGTTACCTATAATTTCTGCTTTTTGTCATTTGTTTACTCACATCTGTTTACTGTATTCTGACTTGTAATTATTTTTAACCTTTTCTATTTTCAGCACGACTTGATGGTGTAACTGCTGGGGCCCCGAATCCGAGCATGATGGGAAAAGGTGAGCCACTTCCTGTATCGCAGAGCAGCTTTAATGTGATTTTCAGCTCTAATTGGAGTTAAGTCACTTTGTGTTGTAATGATGTTTGGCTCACGGAGCAGCAGACGCCGTCCATCAGCCAAATGAAATATTAATCTGACCTACCGCTGGATTACATGCGTGTGTGTGTGTAGATTCACATTTGTAGTCGTGTCAGGAGACCTCTGTAGCACACTGTGTGTCCATTGCCGCCACAAACACACACACAAAGAGCAGCAGACAAACACACACACATATTTTTGACCTACATTCACTATACACAAACAACAGGGTGTCAGGAGGGGCAGGCCAACAAATGTGCATGTGCATGTGTGTGTGTTGCGGTTGAAAGGTGCACTGGGCTGTGAATCTAATGCAGAATTAGTGTTATCTTCCTGCCGAATAATTCATGACGCCGCTTTCAAAAACGATAGCAGAATGACTCGACTCGTCGTCCCCTCGGTCTTTGTCACTCTCCCCGGTGGATGATGTTTTATTCAAAATGTCACATGGAGCAGAAACTAGTAAATAAGTACAGCTACAATTGGCAATCCGCTGGTTCCATCCCAAATGACTTTTAGACCCGATTTGAGTCAGAGTCATATAAAGGGAAGTGAGGTCATCGTGACTTTGAGTATATGTAACCTTTGTGAAAAGTTTTTTCTGTGTGTTCAGATCACATTGTGTCATATATTATCACTGTCTTCAGTCTAACTCTATATAAACTCTGTGTTAGTGGGTTGTAGACGTCACGCAGACATTTTAAACGTTTATCCGATCAAGCTAACGCTTCACATACCCCAGAATGCAGTACATTCCTTCGCCTGCTGGGGGCTGCAGACACACATTAAGGATGTACATTAGCATGTGGACCTCGGACATACTTCTAGTTCTTTCCCCTGCCACAAGGGGCAATGGTCATTTTTGGATTGTGGGTAATAACAACGCCTGCTTGTCAATAAGGGAGTGACATTAGTTTTATAGAACATTCTGGTCCCAGAGGAAGGAACAACCAGGAACCACACCCCTGAAAATAACCATCACAAGTCACGCTCTGAGATAATCCAGAGGCATCACAGTTTTATACTGCGTTCAATAAAGAAGCTCTGAGGTAAACTCAAAGAGCAAGGACGAGCTGGCCTCACTGTTAGTTCACTGGCCCGAGCCCAGCTGAGTGTGTTTGCTTTATTATAGGTCAGCGTGTACACACCCACTAACTATAGCCAGGGCCCCAGCATATAAAACCCTAAATAATACGTCTACATTTAGAGAAATCAACGGGTGTCGCTGTGGAATGCAACAATATTGTGGTGAAGCATTTTCACAAAAGAACAAACAACCGCTGGAGAAGGAGCCAGAGAAAGGACAATATACTGTCGTTACGTTGATATGGTGACTCAATGTATTTCATTTTATGGGAATAACCGATAATCATCTAGGTGGGAAAACCAATATATTTCAGCGTTGGATATTTTCTTCAGCAGCCATCTTTGAAAAATGCCAGGCAGTTATTCTAGGCTCCTATCTAAACGAGTGGGGACTGAGCCACAAATGAACTTTTAGTGGTCACCAGAACATAAAAGCAACACGTTCAGAATCAACACACACATAAAATCTGCTTAAAATGTGCCTGAGAATAAGAAAATAAATGTTGCACAAGGTTTTACAGCAAAACTTCTTTCCCGTCTCAATCCAGAGCGACGTGACGCCAGAGCGCTTGAACTAATGCTGTGCTTATTGATACAGTAACAAAGTTTTAATTAAGTTCTGATGCTTCAGGTTCATTCAAAGTCTGTCTGCACCCGCAGCCTCCTGCCTCCACATTTGTTGAAAACGTTAAATGCCAGTTGAACGACATGATTGACCTCATATCTTTTCCTGCTGCTTATATATTATAGAGCAGAAGATTGGCTCCTTCGGAGGAAGAGTTGGATACGTCCCAGATTTTTCCATCCAGGATTTGTTAAGTGGTTTATTTCTCTCTTGCACAGGATCTCCGGAGAATTGGGTCCGGACTGTCTCTGCAGTTTGTCTTTCGCACATGTACGACCCAGCGGGAGATTCTCCGCTCAGACTTGTTCACAACAGCAACAAATTCTCTGCAGGATTCAGGTGAGTATTCAAGATATGAAGTTTATGAAGTATATGAAGTATTTAGCTCAATAGTTTTCATTTCTTTCAACATTCTGGCATGCCACAGTCATAAAAGCCTGGGATGAATAATGAAATTCAAATCATAAGACTTCAGGGTCCTGCTACTGTGCGTTCTGATGAGGATTGATAAAGTTATAAGCTACGGTCAAAACGTCTGTTATGAAAAAACAAAGGCCTAATTATTACTTGGATGACTTTTTACATTAACTCCTGATATTTTCACACAATTATCTGTAGTTTCTACTCCTGAAAAATTCAAAACAGGCTTGTTACTTTTGTTTTAATGCATTTGAGGGGAATTAATCATTATTTCTATTTCTTTCTTGCATCATTGCATCATTTTTGACTCAAGTATCTGTACTTGACTAAAGCATGTGAGCACATGTGCCACCGTGTCCTTGTGGATCATATTCTCCGGTGAAGTCCTGTGATTGTAACATAAACAGAAAGAGGGAGGTCTGAGCCGTGCAGCCACCTGAGTTTTCCCAGACATGAAGTGTTTATGATCGTGTCTCTTCTTTCTCTCCTTCCCTCAAATGCAAAAATAAAAACTCCGCCGGCCTTGTTGCTGCTTCTCTACAAAGCGATTTCATCTCGGTTCACACGAGCTATTTTGTTGAACCATCACATCTTACTCCGCCACCGCCTTCCCCCCAGCTAAACCCACTGCCATTTAGAATAACAGATGAATAAAAAGACAAGGGGGGGGGAACAGTAGACTGAAACCACAGTGGAACTCAGTAATGGTCAGCCAGGCCCACCACGCCTCAGCAAATGTTTGTCCAAACCTGTTATTTCTGGCATTGTACTGTCTCAAAGAGATCATTTTATTCTCCGAGAGGAATGCAGCAGCTATAAATAGTCTGGAGATGAAGGAGGGGAAATCAGAGATTTGTAGAGTAATTACAGAGCCGGAGCTGAACCCTTCTGTTATGGCTCATTTTTCATCAACCTCTGTCTCCACGACTGTCTGACAGACTGACCGACTGAGGTGAAATGGTCTTTCTCTCAGTGGTACGTGCACACGTCTGACCTGATATTTGACCTCAGACTCTGCCGTACTTTACTTACACGGCAAGTGCCAACAATTAAGATGGAAGTTGACACTTTGTTCATCATCAAACTCAAGAGAAGACGATGAAGAATATTATGTCTGTGAAGTGGGACTGATACAAAACATGTTGAAAAAACGGTCACCTGGACGGCTCTGGTCCTTCTCCTCCTCCAGATACAAAGCTCACTTCAGAGCCACGTTACTCACGTCACAACATTTTAGGGGTAAAGGGCAGAGGACGACATGAGAGACTGGAAAGAGAAAGTTTTTAATAGGAACAGGAAGTAAAACGCAGAAAAACGTAAATTAGAAGAACGTTTTCTGTGCCAATAATCTGGTCACATTGTTTGATTTAGATGAAGTAGAAATCATTATGAAGAAGGGGAAGGGAGAGAAGGAAGTAGGAAGAGGGAGGAAATGGAGAAGGAAGGAGAAAAAGAGGAAGAGGGAGGAGAAGAGGAAGCAGAGAGAGAAGAAGAGGAAGTAAAATGAATAATAGAGGAGGAAGAAGATGAAGGGGGAAGGAGGAGAAGAGGAAATAAATGGAAGGGGAGAAAAGAAAGAAGAAATCAAGAATATGAGAAAGAGCAGGAAAGAATATGGAATTTCAGTTAATCAACACAAAGAGCAGAACTAAAAAAGTAATCTCCTCTTTTGTTTCCAGTGAAAACTCTTTGGAGAATAAAAGGACTTTTAGTTGGTAAATTGCTGTAATTATCAAACATGCCCTGACCCCGACAATTAAGGAAAGCTGGAAATGGATGACAAGTAGTGGCGTGGCCCGCATTACTCACATGAGCAAACAACGTGGAGGAAGGAGGCTGGAGTGATGGGAAATGTGCAGGAGTCGGAGGAACTGCACACTGGCAATGTCACAAGGGCGGCAGATCTAAAAAAGATGTTTGCAAATGTGTCCACAATGAATCTGCTGCTTTTTGTCTCCTGGTGTCACGTTGTCAGCTTTCACTTTCTTGTGGTCTGAGGGAGGAGGGAGAAGAGGAAGAGGTCAATGACAGCTCTTCATCACCAGTCATAGAGAAATTATACCTTTGTGGGGAGTGGACGCAACATCCGAGGAGGAGAAGTAGCTCCCTGAACAGTTTTTACAAGTTAAAGGTTAATAATAATAATAATAATGTTAAAGTCAACCCCTACATAACAGATTCTCCAAGCTGAATAGTTTGTTTAGAACAATATGTCTGAGTTTGGCTTTAAGTATGTTTTATTATTCACGGGTTACATTTTCCTCATTTAAGTTTTAACTTAACTTTAATTTGTTAATATAAATATATATAAAATAAATATATAAAACTTTGAATATTTTAATATTTGTACACCCCCAGAGAAACCTTACGCAACATATACTCAGCTAAGTTCTGTATTTTCTTATATAACACTGTTTATCTATCTATCTTTTTATCTATCTATCTTTGTATCTATCTATCTATCTATCTATCCATCCATCCATCCATCCATCCATCCATCTATCCATCTATCTATCTATCTATCTCTATCCATCTATCTATCTATCTATCTCTATCCATCTATCCATCTATCCATCTATCTATCTATCCATCCATCCATCCATCCATCCATCCATCACCATTGATTTATTATTGATTTACATGCAGCATGAGATTACTTATTTATTTGCAGGGAAATGGCGCCTCTACGTGGTGAATATGTGGTACAGCAAACCAAAATGTTGAACGTTATTATATTATTTGAACATCTAATAAAAGAATATGATGCTTGCTAACAAAGCGTCGGGAAGTTGTTGAGTTGATCAGAACATTAGGTAAAATAATTATTAACAATGATGATAATAAACTTAATTTAGTAGAGTATTCATTTGGAGCTTGGTTGGATTTTATTAATGGGGAGAATTAAGAGGGTTTATAACAGAGCTACTTCACTAATATGTTTTGTGTGACCCAATGCAAATTATGATTGAATGAAAGAATGAATTTATGATTTTATGTCTCATGCTATTTACACAATGCTTCATTCTTTATTGATATTAAGGGATGTTTGCTTTGCTGCTTGTGTATCAGATCAAGTTCATGTTCGTGTCACCCCCAGAAAACCCTGCTGACGACCCCACCCACCACACATCCCACCACACGACCCACCACACGTCCCACCTCAGTAACAAGGTGAGAGCTGTAAATCTGTACTGGCTCAGTGTGTTTTATGTTTGTGTATCTTTACTGTACAGAGACACTAGACGGCAGCAGAGCACATAAATAAACCAAGGTCAGAATGACAGTGAGAACTGAGAGTGTATTTATGTGGGCATCTGACGACCCTGACGAATCAGGGTTTTTTTATTCGTGTGAATGGCATCAAACCTTTGCAGGGTGGCAAAAGCATTAGAATGACAAAAGATTGAATCGGATGACCTCGGACTGACATGTTTTATTCAAAACATCAGTGTCTGTATGTCAGCTGTCTGTGCTACCGCAACCTACTGGTAGTGGGAGAAACTACAAATGTGACTTTATATACGAAAGATACATACAACTTCTAAAACTCTTAAAAACAGGCTGCTGGTTGCAAACTGTGCAAAAAGCACAGTTTAACTCCATTTTTTTTTTACATTATTAAGTTCATAAAACACAACCAGAGATATTACAGTAAGAATGCATCTGCTGTAAAGGTGCAGTGTGTAGAATTAAGTGATATCTAGTGTTGAAGTTGCAGCTGAACAGCCCTCACCTCACCCTCTCCTTCCAAACATGAAAAAGAAACTGTGGTAGATTTTAATTGTCATAAAAACTCAAAAGGTGTTTAGTTTGTCCAGTCTGGACTAATGTAAAAAACATGGCGGCCTCCGTAGAGAGGGTCCCCTCGATGTAAATATAAAGTATTTAAATATTAAGGGTCTTTTCTGGGGTAAAGAAACTACAATTCATACAATTTAGATGAAATGAACTTGTGAAAACATTGTGAGGATTATTCTACATTACATTTCTGCCAATAGTTCCCTTTCACCTAAATCTTACACACTGGACCTTTAAGTCTTGTGGCCACCAAACATTCCCACATGAGGAAGTCACCTCTGTTTTGTTGTTGTTGGTTTTAGCACGCAGTAATAATTAGCAGCAGTTTCTGTGTACAGTTATGTATACTCATTGTGTATATGTGTGTACATTCTGCCGGAGGGATGTTCTGGCCCTGGTGTTCAGAATCTTTTTGAATGAAAAGCCTGTTGTTCTGCTGATACTGTGAGCGGTGACCTGGGGTAACTAGCACGCTGCAGTGTTTTGATCAATAGTGATGAACCTGTGAAAACCGGACAATAAGTCAGCATCACTCTGGTGCGTCACTGTACATGATGTGTTATGAAACCTATTTGGATGACAATACTTTATGCTGTGCCATCACACAGCAACTTTATATAAAAGGACAGCGGCACAAACAGGAACTATTGAGCGGCAGTCGGGCCGCCAACAAATCTAGCAATGGGAAAGGTAAGATTAGAACGTGTTGCTACTAAAGAATTACAATAATACCTCACACGAGTCGACTAACTTTGACGAACATTTTCAGATCATATTCTACGAGGACAGGAATTTCCAGGGTCGGCACCATGAGTGCATGAGCGACTGTGCTGACCTGCACCCCTACTTCAACCGCTGCAACTCCATCCGGGTGGAGAGCGGCTGCTTCATGGTGTATGAGAGGCCCCACTACCTGGGCCACCAGTTCTTCCTCCGCCGGGGGGAGTACTCGGACAACCAGCGGATGATCGGCATCAACGACTGCATCCGATCCTGCCGGATGATTCCCATGGTGAGAGGATGATGGAGGTTGATGTTTAAAGGAAACTCTAGGCTGAGGAAGATTCTTGGGTTTTAGCATTTGAGGGATATTCATAAACTCTGACTCATGCGTTTGGTTCCTTCTGCAGCATCGTGGCTCCTACAAGATCCGACTATATGAGCGTCCAGACATGGCCGGCCAGATGCAGGAGGTGAGCGACGACTGCCCTAACGTCCAGGACCGCCTGCGCATGTCTGACATCAACTCGTGCAACGTGGTCGACGGCCACTGGCTGATGTACGACCAGCCCAACTACCGGGGCAGGACCTACTACCTGAGGCCCGGCGAGTACCGCAGATACATCGACTGGGGCGGCGCCAGTCCGAGGATCGGCTCGCTCAGGCGAATCACAGACTTCAACTAGGAGTCTTGTAAACCTTCTTTCTCTGTCTGTTTTCAATAATAAACATGCCCAGCTAAAACTGTGTGCGTCTCTGTATCTAAAAGTCAAATCATTCGATTACGTGTTTGTGTTTTATTCCTGTTTCCACGTCTTTCTTATGACGTCTGATCCACTCATGAAATAATAACGTGGAATCATTTGTTTTTGCACCTTTAGTTTCAACCTTTGTCATGTTTTCTCCACTGAAAACTCAAGTAATAAACCCAAGAAAACATTTACTATCGTATATCTTTATTGACAGTGTTTTACTGACTTCACATAGACAGTGTGCAGACATCAGCTTTCTCAAATGGTGATACGTCTGATTGATCCCACCCTGGGACTCGAGCTTCCCCACTCGTTAGACCTCCTGTACTCTCCAGGACGCATCAGGTACTGGCGTCCCCTGTAGTGGGGGTGCTCAAAGAAGATCCAGTGGCCTTCCATCAGGTTGCAGGAGTTGACGTCGTTCATATGGAAGCGTTCGAACAGGGAGGGGCAGTCGTCGGTCAGCTCCATCATCTGGCCTCCGAATTCTGGTCGCTCGTAAATCCTCATTCTGTGGGAGCCTTGGTGCTGTGGAGAAGATGGAGGGTTGAGTCGCCTGTAGACTAAAACGTTCTAAAAGAAAGTGCAAAACTCACAGTAGGGATCATGCGGCACGATCGCACGCAGTCGTTGAATCCCATCCAGCGCTGGTAGTCGGGGTAGTCGCCCTTTCTCAGGAAGTACTGGTAGCCAGTGTAGCTGGGCCTCTCATAGACCATCCAGTCTCCGCTGTCCACTCTGATGGAGTTGCAGCGGCTGAAGTGGGAGTGCAGGTCGGCGCATTCGCTGCTGCACTCGTAGGAGCGACCCTGGAAGTTCTTGTCCTCGTAGAAGATTATCTGAAAGTCAGTGGGGATTTTTCTAAATCAACACAATGGCTCAGATTGAGGGAAATCACACTTTCTGTACCACCAAGACAAAACAATTCCAGTTCACCGGTTTCGTCCAGGCAGACGTGCAGAGGCCCCAAAGACAGCGAGCAAAACAAGCAGCCTTACCTTACCCATAATGTCGGCTAACCTCGGTCACACTGTAGCGCGGCTGTGGGCTCCACGCTGCCTTTATAACCCACGAATGACCCGTGTCATTGTGAGTCCGAACAATGAGCCGGCTCGTCAGCTTTTTTCTGGCAGAGCCACGATGTTGTTGTTGTTTTGTGCAACAAAGCAACCCCCCCCCTCCCTTTTCAGCAGAGGTCACCCTTTCAATTTGATCTCGTTGATGATGTGAATCTGAAAATAAACTCAAAATAATAAAAACTTTGGCATCAGACTGATGAACTTATCGACTTTGGACAGTCGGTTTATTTCTTCACCTCCAGCTTACAACAGCACACGTAATATTTTAAAACATTCCCCCTGACACACGTGATGATCAGATCAAGTTCAACCATTCACATGATTGATTCATGACATTTTGACAGTTTTGTGACTTTTCAACACGATCACAAACGTGAAGACAAACACTGACTCTCCCCCCCCCCCCCC